ACGTAGATTGTTGTGGGCATTTTTCTGCACAAAATTTGCTACGGCGTGAACATGACCAGGATAATGTGAACTACATAAAGACGGCTTAGGGTGACTCGATCCGCTGCACTGTGAGAGATCGCTCCCACTTCAAAAGGAAAGAGCATGGGAATCAGAGCACACTATGTTGTAGAAATCATAACGGATAGTCATATTTTCGCGAAGTAGGCATGAGAGTCGTAGGAGCAAGGCTCACTTAGGAATGGGAAGAACAGCCATATTCAGATGTTTCGCGGTCATTGAATGAAAAGAGGTATTTATTTTTCTTGTTGTGAAGGACACCTGAAGTCAAAGGCATGTTTCAAGCTGAAAAGTGGGGAATGGATGGTTCCAAGGAGTACGGTGGCCATCTATACGCTAGGACCTTTCTGAACCGAAGGAGCACATCTGGTTGCACTAGGAAGTATTATCTAGAAGTTACAGCATTCCAGAATCTCGCGTGAGAGTCAGGGAGGCATGGCGCAATACAGAGGTGATGCCGGCGTCGATTGAACAATTAACTGATAACTCCGTTGGAAAGAATGTGTCCTAGAATCATTCGGAAAGTACTGCGCCCGATGAGTCGCTGGAAACTGTCCCAACAAAATAATACGGGAAATTTTCAAAATAACATGATTGGGGAGAAATGTTGGGGGCATTCTAAAGATGGAAGTTTTTTAGATTCCTCCTTAATTTCTAGTTTCAAAGAGGTCACAAAGAAAAATAGTTATGGGGTGTGTAAAAGCATGAAGACTCGTACGTGACGGTAAAACTTAACAACGGCGGCACAACGGAGAAATTTCCTTGACAAAGTTCGAAACTATTTACCCTTTACTGCCCCAGCCATCCGAAATCAGGCCAGTTCCTGACCGACTTTTTTCTCCGTGGGCAGAATTTGCTGAAAACTTGGCTCCAGGGGTAGTTCGACCCGCTGAACACGAATATCGCATCCGCTTGACCCGAAACCTCCTGGCGCCCGCGCCACGGGCGCCGGCGCCAAAATACTCGAAATCACCAAATTCGCTGAAAACTTGCTCCCAGGGGTAGTTTGACCCCCTGACCACGAATATGGAAAACGCTTAAGCACAGTCAAGTATCGAACCTGAAGCTTCGCACCCCTCTTTTTCCTCTTCAGAAGCCCATCCTCAAAAAAAGTCATGATGTCAAAAAAGGGTGGTTTCGGACTTACTGCCCTATTTTGGAAATACACTGCGAATGGATAGCACCAGTAGCGCGGAAGAAAGAAAGGCACCGGCCTCCGAAGGTGTACTCTCAAATTTCAAGTGCTCGATGAACCATCATTTCTTTTTTGCCTACTTATTTTTATTTTTTAGCCTTCTTTTTGGTAGTGGGTGCGGGTTGTTCCGAGAGCCAGTTTCGCGACTGGAGTGGTATTTCAAAGGAAGTTTACAAAACGCGAGGACATGTCCTGATGGGAAGTGGTGTTCGTGTGTTAGAGTCGCGTTTAGGAACGAACTGCAGGTCACCTCTGGTTCTTGCTATGCGCGAATAGAATGAGCCGGCACTTTACAAGGGTGGTATTTTCGCCACTTGAGAGACCACGGGAATGAGGCTGATAGGCAGTATTTTACGGATGCTGTTTGGGACCCCACCTGCGCTAACAATATCCCAGGGCGAGAGCGCAGTCTGAGGCAGGGAGCAAGCATGGGATAGAGAGCACAGACAATACTAGCCCTACTACTAAGATTAGGTGTGTGCCTGGGCGTGCGGCAGCGCGGGCGGAGTCTTGGGACAACACACAGGTATCACAATATCCCAACCTCGTTTTCGTGCACTTTGAGCTCAGCAATTGGCACGCTCCGCAGCTGCGGACCCATTCATCTCGCACATCGCAGGGACCATGACGGAGGTGAGCATTGGGTTTGTCTTGGGAGTTTTCTAGGCTGAGAAAGCATTCTCTGCAAGTTCGATGACACAGGTCGGGTGGGCGATTCCTGCTTTAGCTCCCACCGTTTTAGCTAAGAAGGAGAAGGTGATCAGTGACCTGACCGGTGGTTGGAGCATTGCAGTAGCTAACAGTTGTGTTGTGGAATGATTTCCTTTGTTTTGAAGTTGACATTACAGTCTCCTATACACGACTAACAGTGAAGGGTACCTGCCAGTAATCGCCTGGGTCAAAGTTGATGAAGGGCATCATTGATTTTGCTCTTCTGAAGACTTTCGATGCTGCAATGGTCTCCTCGTGCGCAATCCATGTTCCATTTGCTTGTCTTGCGTTGTCATAACTCTCTTTATAATTATAGTCTACCACCGTCTAAACATAACTGAAGAGAGGATTCAAGCTCGAAGGAGCTTCTTTTCCTGCATCCTCTCTATAGTGCGTTATCTGTTACATATATGTACTTACTTCCATTTCCATCTCCATTTCTCTAGTTTCAGCAAGAAATTCATCAATATTCTGCTTCGAAATAAACTCATGAAGAACAAGTACTATTGGATCCCTGCTGATCACCTCTGTGTTTAAGTTTCTGGTAATTAATAATGTGAGTGTAGCAAGACTCCCCTGAAAGCAAAGAATAGGTAAAAATTGAGGGGAAGCAATTTGATGTAGTTGGTATCAAAAGTAGTGCGGACGAAATCTTTCTTCTTAGCGTATAGGGTAAATATGCCTAAACAGAAAGGAAAAGGGACTTCTGTGTAATTATGCTCTATTTGGTGCGTTTTGTAAAAACAGTGCGTACACTGAGCAACTTTGCCACGCCTAAAATTTCTGACGGCTGGTCCTCAGGAAAACCTCCATCTCCATAGGTGAATGCCTCTGCCAGCGCTTGCTCAAAATCCAATCAGAGATTCCCCTAGATCTTCTTTACCTCCTATCACTTGCGATTTGCTGCTGACACCTTTCACTTTGCCCATCCACGTAGGAAGGGTCTTTACAGTAACGAAACTATTTTATCCAGATATTTTGCAAGGTTTCTTAACAGGGCGCCGTCCTTGTCACACGTTTTAGATAGTGTACGTCTTTCACTCATTTTATAAACAGTAACAGGATATTGAACCGGCGTTGCTTGGTAATTTTATTGAAGTGTCCTCGTTCACGACAAAGGCTCTTCCCGATTTTCTTCTAATTCGATGTTACTGTACGGTTATGTTGCGAAGGCTGTGATTTTTCCCGCGGAAATCGATGCCTAGCGAGCATCTAGATCGAGCGTATCTTCTTCCACTACCGGTTGACAGTGGTCAAAAAGTACCCTATTTTGCGCGTTTCCTGCGTACGTCAGCTGTCCTACATATAATTGGAAGCACAAAAGCTGCATGTTGCCTTCTTTCTGTGTCCACCGTCTTTTGATGTCTTGTTCGCTTCCAGCTCATCTTGCCGCAACTTTGTCACTGGTATCTCGCTACTTGGAATGCTCGACAACTGTGACCCTATGTATGGCGTCATCGATAGTTTTGCCATTTCTTTTCTTCTTTGGTAACTCAGAAAACCCCCACAAGTTGATATTCATACCGCGAACCTTGTGACGTAACCGCAGGGTAATTCTTCGAGCGAATGACCCCTAAACTTCAGGGGATTGTTTAGTCCCTTTCACTGGGAAACAGATAAGCTTTGCTCACCAGTGCTCCTTTGCTTCGGCGAATCACAAAGGTCTATTTCTTCTTTTTGTCCAGGTATCGTCTCCAACAAAAGGATCCGTTGGCTTTCTACATGAGACTGCTCCAAGTTGGCAGCACAGCATTATGACGAAGAGCAAACAGTAGGACATCGCGACATATCCTTTGCAAGTCTTCAAAATTCATTTCATAAAAACAGAAGTGCAAACTGACTGAATAGAACAGAAGAGTGTGGTGATGGATTGGCCCTAGAGTGGAACAGCGACAGTAATAACGGTCCCTTCTGCATACATGTTATAGGTCAGACGAGCATTCAGTCTGTATGGGATAGCCGCTTTCACGAACTGGTACAGGTATGATCCCTTCCTCATAACCTACCTACCATCTTTCGGAAAATTTCGCCTCAGACGGAATGGGAGAGGAAGAAGTCGAGCAACTGCCAGACACAATAGTATTGCCTCCTTCCACTACATGTTTTCAGAGCAGGGTTCACATCACCTGCAACCTCGAAGAGACTGGATAGTCCTTGCTTTTCCCACGATACACCCACCGGAGGGAACTACTACGATATTCGAGTTACCATACTTCAATTATTTGTCCGGAAAGTTCTCAGCGTTTCGAGTGTTTCACTTTAAACGATCATAACTTTCTTAATACTCATCGGATTCAATGAAACAAGCACCGTTCGAATCAGCACACTTTTGACCACAAGTGCTAGCTGCAGCTGACGCAATTTTCGGTAAATTTCGTCGATTTCTTCACAGTAGGACTCTGCTGTGATGGGGCCTGGTGATAAAAAGTTATAGTGGATCACACCAGCCGATGACCACCAAACCGTGACCAGAATCTTTTTTTTCGTGAGGGTTCGGCTTTGAAATTGCCTCAGGGGTCCGCCGGCATCCAACCACTGTCCGAAACGTCTCCTGTTATCATACATGATCTCCTTTTCATCACACGTGACAATTCGGTCCAACGGGTCGTTTCTGTTGTGCAAAAGCAGTGAAGAAAAAAACTCGAGACGTACCAAATTCTGTCCGCCACTTGTCGAGTTTTTTCACCTTCCCAATGCATTTCAGACCATCCGCAACAGTGGATTTGCCAACGCCTAGCTTTTCTGCAATCTCTCGAACTGTTTGGGATGGGTCAGCCTCCACAAATGCCTTCAAATCCTTCGTCAGGTATTGCTTTAGGTCGACCGCTACGAGGTTCATCTTCAAGGCTGAAATCTCCAGAACGAAATTTGTCGAACCATTGTCGCACGGTGCTTTCTCCAACACTATTGGGCCCCCACACCTGGTTAATTTTTCGAGCTGTCTCGACTGCGGATTGACCCAATTTGTAGTTGAAGAACAATATCGTCCGAAGTTGCTCTTTTGACATGCTTGAAAAACTCTTGAAAAAAGGGGTTTATCAAGCAATGGTGAAACGGCAATTATACCATCAGATAGCGCAAAGAATTCTCTTCAGGATGTACTACTGAGACGCAAGGGAGAATGAGTTTTTAATCAGCAATGAATGTACAAAAAATAGTAACACAAAACGCTGAGAACTTTCCGGACAACCTAATACGAACATAACTGACGCCATCCCTTTACTAATAGAGAAAAGTAAACATTTACCTTGTCCGTGAGAGCAGTCATTCAACGCCACCGATACCAGTGAAAGGCGATTCTATGGTAAGCTAATTTTAACGTTAGAATGGCTTTTATTTTGGAATTAACATCAGACAGCTACCGGAATATCAATTTTCAATGAAACGAAACACTGCAAACGCGCACTTTGCACAGCACTCCACAAAAAGTCGTTATCGTTGCTGTCCTGAAGGTGTTCCATCAAATGGCTTCGAACCTAACCATCTTCATCTCGACGCGACGTCGTCGATGGTAGATTATTCGTCGACGTTAGGTTCTGGTTCTTCAGATGGAACCACTTGGACTCCGCTGCAAGTGAACGGTATTATGACAAAGGTTAAGCGTAACTGATAGTATTCAAACTCTTTACTTCAGCAGTTACGAGCGTTCATTTGCCTGTACCTAGATTTACCATTTTCACTCTAAATCGGACACTTGTTCAAACCAAATCGGACACTTTTCAAACCAAATCGGACACTTTTCAAATCAAATCGGACACTTTTCAAACCAAATCGGACACTTTCAAATCAAATCGGACACTTTTCAAACCAAATCGGACACTTTTCAAATCAAATCGGACACTTTTCAAATCAAATCGGACACACCCCTTACAATGGGCAGTTGAGAACTAGACCACACTAGGTACTGCTGCAAGCCCCGCCCCAACCCCCCGCCCACCTTTCCAGCGCGGTTGTTCTATGAAATCTGCTTCTTCGACTTTTTCTCACTTTTGCTAGTTGCACACACACTTCAACTGAAAAGGATTGGTACCGATACAGATCTGACTCCGCCCACTTCACAATCAAGTGACGTAAGTTCTGAATTTTTATAACTTCTTTCGACGTCGGTTTTTTCACATTCAATCTTCACAAAACGAATATAGCCATGCATTTACACACTAGCACACTAGGCCCCGCCCCTCTGACCACGCCCACTTTCGTTTTTCGCGGAATTTTGATTTTTCTTCCGAATTTTCACTTTTTAGGCTGTGACAAGCGGCCCCGCCCACTAATGGAAGCTCCGCCCACTTTGTAGAAGCCCCGCCCACTTTTCAAAAATGATGCAGATCGGCGAGCTAGTGACCGTACTAGCAGGTTATGGCCTCTCCCGTCACCCGGAACAAAGTTTCCCTTTTTTTGTGGTCTTTCCTTTTTTTCATTCTATGTGACGGGAGAGGCCATAACCTGCTAGTACGGTCACTAGCTCGCCGAGCTGCATCATTTTCGAAAGGTGGGCTTCTACAAAGTGGGTGCAGCTTCAGTTAGTGGGCGCGGCCGTTGGTCACAGCCGAAGTGAAAATTCGGAAGAAAGAAAAGAAAAAAAAGAAAAACCAAAATTCCGCGAAAAACGAAAGTGGGCGTGGTCAGAGGGGCGGGGCCTAGTGTGCTAGTGTGTAAAAGCATGGCTATATTCGTTTTGTGAAGATTGAATGTGAAAAAACCGACGTCGAAAAAAGTTATAAAAATTCAGAACTTACGTCACTTGATTGTGAAGTGGGCGGAGTCAGATCTGTATCGGTACCAATCCTTTTCAGTTGAAGTGTGTGTGCAACTAGCAAAAGTGAGAAAAGTCGAAGAAGCAGATTTCATAAAACATTTGGAAAACCACGGCCGCGCTAAGAAGTGGGCGGGGTGTTGGGGCGGGGCTTGCAGCAGTACCTAGTGTGGTCTAGTTCTCAACTGCCCACTAAGGGGTGTGTCCGATTTGATTTGAAAAGTGTCCGATTTGATTTGAAAAGTGTCCGATTTGGTTTGAAAAGTGTCCGATTTGATTTGAAAAGTGTCCGATTTGGTTTGAAAAGTGTCCGATTTGAAGTGAAAATGGTATATATACTCAGAAGCTCCCGTACTAGAAAACTTCAAATTGTACTAGCGAACCTGACTTTTGGTTTTTCCCGATTTTTCAGCATCAGCAGTATCAGAGTACAGCATGGGGATGTGCGAAATGGCGGTGTGAGTACGACCCCCCCTCGAAGAGGGTCCAGTTCCGACCCCCCCCTCTCCTGCCTCTAACTGACATTCGCCCACTTTACGGTTCGGTGCGGAGCCAGACGATGAAGACGTGACCGAGTTGATCATCAAATAGCTAATCTTCCTTAGATGAATGTCGCGGAACTGTTTACAATAAAAGATCTTGGTGTCTCGCAGCTGACTCCAACTGACTTGGAGCTGACTTGTCATGGAGGCGATCGGTACTGGGACGTATGATACATCTTGTGATGTTCTGCGACAAACCGCTCGCAGCGCTTACCCTTGCCACGGTAGTTCTTGTCGAGATGCCTCCTTGGACTGTGAAAATGGTGAACATTCACCAGTGTCCACCTCTGAAATGGCGCACATCGCCTGCGATCTTTTCCTACTCCCGCACACCTCGGCCGAATCGCGATAAACAACTACGCTCCCTCAGCATGCAGTCGTACCCACAATGGGCTGCCGCCGGCTGATCTAGAGTACTGATCGAATCTCCGGCAACTATAGATGCACTGCAATGACATTTCGATACACAAATCTGAGGAACTCCTTCCAGAATCGGCATCGGCTTTGGAAGCGACCACGGAGGCAGTTCATCTCGTCCACGACGTTGAACTCCTTCGCTGCTCTGGAACAGAAATCATCAGTGCTTCTGAGGCTGCACGCGGCATACCCTAATAGCTCTCACTTCTGCTTTCGCGATTACACCTCGCTCTGACCGCCTCTTGTTCGTCTAATGGTTCTCGCTACGACTCATTCAGGGCATGTCCGCAACACTGTCCATCTGTATATTTTAAGCGCTGCCTCGTCTTCCCGACCAAGGGCAGACGTCCTCAAAAACAGTCAAGCATTCGCAAGGTCGATTCACTCCCATGTCTGTTTTGATGTGCCTTCACTCTTTCCGCTTTTGCCCATGGGTCGAGGCTTCATAAACACTCTTCCGCCCACCGAAATTTCGCAGCGTCCACGTCGTGACGTTCATCGCAATAGGCTTTCATTCTTCTTCGGTAGGAGTCATTCGAGTACTTCTTCGCGAAACAACTGCAGTCCCCGTAGCAATTCGGTCTTGTAATCGGCCGAGTCAATTTGGTACTTTGTTACCTCACTTTCAAGGTACTACCTGGACGGCACATGAAGGGCCTTCAAACCGGTGGTGTAAAAGAAGAAAGGGCTTTCTCCGGTTGCCTCGTGAGGACTTACGTTGTATGTATACACCGCATGCGGTAATATGGAGTCTCACGAATCTTCGACCTCAACTTTTCCATCTCAGCATTCTTTTGCAGGCCCTAGTATCACACGTCCTGTGACAACACCATTTTCGCAGTGTGTGTGAATTATAAACCTTGTTTATTTGTAAAGGTGATTCCTGATACTAGCTAATTCTGTACCTTGATCGCTACATCTGCCTCAGCCAGCGGCCGTTTTCGCAAATCCATCGCCGGAAATGGGTGCTAGGCCACGGTGTGAAGCGCTTCTTGTCCTGGATCGGCTAGATGGAAGGTTTTCAGGAGTGGCACATTAACTTCTCCTTGGGTTAAACCAGAGGAGAATTCTCGGCATTTCGGGTGCCCACTCAAAACATCCTTTCTTTGGCCTCCCCAAGAATAAGTCTTTTAGCTTTTCACAAAGGTACCGCAGACTTATTCTTAATAAATGGCAAGTGGCCAGGCAAAAAAAGGCACCCTCGAATGGGCTTCCGTCCCCCGGGCTTCGTCGAAGACATCTCTCCTCTTACTCTTCGGAACTACCCTTACTGTTGCGCCACTTTCGGTTATTAACTTCAAGTCGCCTTCTTCCAGCGAAAAGTCAACAACTTTAAATCTCTTTCCCATCCGGGGTAAGGCAACTTCCTCCTCCAGATGGCCTGACTCGAGTCCTTGAATGATGAATTTGTAGTCCGGATCATCTCTCAGCTCTTCTAACCACGGCGTTCCGTCACTTGGAGTAACCGCGCACACGATTCGATCATCTTTTATGTCAGTGATGTCCAGCTCAAGTTCACTCATTTTGACACCTCTGGACAAAGCGTCGGCCACGGGATTCGCTTTACACCCTACCCTACCCTACCCATACCCTTGACATATTCGATTTTTACACGATACTGTTGTATCTCCAAGTGCCCATCGTAGCACACGACTGGATACATTTGTTCTCTTGAACAGGGCAGTAAGAGGTAGATGATCCGTGCGGATTATGACTTCCATGCCGTATATGAAGAAGTGGAACCACTTCAACTTCTTCACTACTGCAAGAGCTTATCCGTTATGTGGTACCTTCGCTCAGCTTTGGTTAGTCTTTTCTGATGCGAAATAGAGTGGATGTAGAGATCCATCTTTTCCTTCTTGATATAGTACAGCTCAGATGCCTAATTGAGATGCATCCGCGTAGATTATGATCCCAATCTTGTCGAGTTCCGCATGGATTCCTGCAGCGTCAACTAGGTGGCTCAAAAAGTTGATCTGCCTTTCCATGACAACGCATTTCTGTGGCTTTAAGCTTCAAGTTAGCCTCACTCAATGCCGTCATGACATGCTGCAGTACCTCGTAATGGCGTTCTTCCGTGTCCGTGGCTATGAGAATGTCATCGATATACACAAAGACTTCCCTGTCTTTCAACTCTCCTAGGACTTGATCCATAAGCCGTTGGAATTCAGCAGGCGATGTGCATAACCCAAACGGTAACACGGTAAATTGGAATAGGCCTTCCGATGTAGTGAACGCACTTTTCTCTTTAGCGTCATCTGACAACGCTATTTGCCAATAACCTGAACACATATCTAATGACGAGAAGACCCGTTTTCCTCTTAAACTCTGCAACATAACGTCAATCGCAGGAAGAGGATATGCATCAGGCTTGGTGTGCTTGTTAAGTTCACGATAGTCCACACAAAGCCGAAGTGAACCATCCTTCTTTTTCACTAGGACTACAGGAGAAGCCCATGGAGAAGTTGAGCGCTCTATAATACCTCTCTCAAGTAGTCCTCTTATGATCTCCTTGAATTCTTTACGTGCACCTACGGGACACCGGACCTGTCCTTTGACGGATGGGTTCCGCATCTCCACTCTCTGATTTCGTGCCTCACTAATGATGTCTGTGTGAGCTCTTTATCTTCCACTGCGAAAACGGAGTGATTATCTCTAATCATCTTCCATAACCTCGTAGGTAGCTTTCGCTCTTTGCGGTTTTCCTTGAGGAACTGTTTTAGCTTCATCAACCTCTGTTGAGCCGACAGCCTCCTTGTTTCTAGTGTAAGCATGTCAGTGGGAATATCTTTCGCACTGGCTTCTATCCACTCGGTCTGATATTCCTTCCACTGTCCCACTGATTCACCTTCTTCTGAACACCGGTGCAGACGATCTGTTTACGTCAGGCACTTCGACTAGGCCATCTTTCTTCATTCACATGACTCATGGCTCCTGGCGCGATGTACTCGCGCCGAGCTACCTTCGCCACCGTAGGGTTGGATATCGTCGGCACCACTTCTTGGAGATTCCAAGCACCAGTCTCCGTTTTAGTGGGGTTATCGAGTGGTCTTCCTTCCTCGAGTCAACTGGTAGCCGAACACTGGGAGTACGTTAGTGCCTAGCATAACCATGTGCCATGTCATCCCTTACCGTTGCATGTACCAGTGCACTAATTTTACGTCCACTGGGACAGCCACGGATGGGGACTTCGAGAACTGCGACAAACTGCATCACGCTACCGCTACCCGTCATACACCCCTTCGCCTGGTCAATCTCATGCTCCACCAAGTTACGTGGTAAAGTGTTGTTACGGGCGAAACGAGCTGGATTCGGCCAATATCGAATCCAGCTCGTTTCGCCCGTAACAACACTTTACCGGGCAGGATAGTTATCTCTGACCCAGTGTCGAGCAACCCCTGAGCTTTTATTCCTAGTATCTCTAGCTCCACTGTCATCTTTTTACCAAACAACGGTTGTGGTCTTTGGGAGGATCCTGTCCCACGCTTTTCCGCAGTTATACAACATCCTCCACGTACTCTGGTTGACAGAGAAGACCCTGGTTTGGAAGATATTTTCGTTTTCTTACAATCGCGAGCCATATGTCCTGCTTCGCGACACTTGTAACACACAGGAGTGCGGTCCTTGCCTATTTCTTCTTTCTTTGAAATCAGGTTCTCTAGCAGTCCGGTCCTGCGCATTCTTTCTTTCTTTGAGATCAGGTTCGGTACGAGGTGGTTTACTGAAGGCTTTCCCTTCCCCAGTACGTGGGTTTTTGACCTGTTCTAGGGTCATGTCACGTCGTTCGATCCTTTTGGCCACCTCTTTGAGCTTCTCGTATGTGTCTTCTTCGCTTTCCAACGCCTCAAGAAGATAATACGAATCGCGCCAATGCGATAGCTGATCGTACAGCAAATGGGCTCTCTCCACAGCTAACGTGTATTCATCAAGTTCGGGATAGGCCTGACGAGTCAACTGTTCTAACTCTACACAAAAATCCGAAACAGTTTGACCATCCCTTTTCTTCAACCTCTTTAGCCTTCCTAAAGCCACTACTTTAATCGTGCGCTGTTCGGCCTTACATTCGCGCATCATAGCTTCTATCAGCGCATCATATCCACCATCCTTTTCATAGCTGGGTAATGCTTCATACAGTGTCCTCGCTTTTTCCTACCAATTTGGAGCGGAAAAGTGTACACAACTCAGCATCTGTCCAATTTGTTCTGGGGTACTTTAGCTGAAAGTCCTCCAAGAACCTCACGAATCCGTAGTTCGAGTCTTGCCCTGAGTATGGCTGGACCTCGGGTAGGGTCATATGTCTCATGTAGCGGGCTACTGGATCGTCCCCTTTTGGGCACTCCCACCTTTCTCTTGCCACTTCACTCCTACCCCTACTACTTTGACATTCGCTCACATCGCTATCTGTACAAAAAGATAGCCTACCTGTTTCCCTCTTCGGGGCGCCAGGTGTGAGCAGCTCGAGTTCGCGTCCACTGACCTCAGTTCCAGCTCGCTGGCATGCCTTTGTCCACCAGTCTGCAAAGAAGAACCTTTAGGCTGTGTCGGTCCACTTTGCAATCTGTTCATTGCTTTGCATATTGCATAGCTTTGCCGAAGCTAGGAATGGCAGGCTTATTACCTGACTTCCCTGGCTTTTCACCGTCGATTTCCATATCCAAAGGGCTGCGCTGGTGCTGGCGGAGCTTTTCCAACTCTTTTCCTGGTTCTCACAGCGCTTTCGTAGAGCTCGCAACTCGGCCAGTTGCGCATCGTACGATCGCAGCTTCTCCTGTAACATCATAAGTTGGTTTTCGAGGGCTGTAACTGAACGACATTTCTCCACTATGTCATCTATTCTACCCCCTTCTCCAACTGTTCACTTGCTGAACCACATCGAAACTCTGATTAATTCGTAAGAGATTCGACAAACTCGTGGCGCTGGCTGCAACCTAAACTTAGCATCACAGTGGCTACCCACTGTTCTAGCTCTGCGCCCTGTCTAACTTGCTGTTGCAGCTGGTTCAGCTCTTCGACAGCCTCTTCCGTCCGCTGCCTACATACGGTTTCGATCGCTTCGCGCTTGGGATCACTTGTGCGCATGTGCTTAGCTACTTCAACTGTCACATGCGTGCTTATCGCTCTCACTTTCTTAATAATCTCGTGCCATACCTGAGGTTCTGCGGCTTCTCCCGTAAGCCGCTCCTTCTCCGGTTCGTCCACCACATTCACTGGTACGGACATCTCGACCTCTGGCTCTCCTGTAATATCCTCAATTACAGAATTTTCCCTTCCTCGGAAACTGTGAGCCATCACGTCACGACGCAAGTCTATCGTGGTTCTCAGTCCTTACTTCAGGTCGCTCAAAAAAAATTTGGGCAGAGGTTCCCCTCTCTACGCGCCAAATTTTTGGTCACCTGGACCGAGAACCACCGTGTCACTCGGAGAGGAATGCAGCACAGGGCCAACTGTTCCTCTTCAGCAACACTGACTGTACTGTATTCACGAGGACAGCCTCGTGACACCGCAGTACAGAAAAACGACAATCAAAAAAAACCGAGAAGGATAACAGAGGTTAGCTTCTGCGAAATCACTGGTCAATCCTGGTTTGGCCCCCAAGTTAGAGTTCGATATTAGGTATCGACAGGATTGACCGACTCAACAGAAGCTATACACCGACAAAAAAATGAGTTTTACCGTAGACTAACTGTAAGCACAGAATAACACAATAACATAAAAGGAAGAAACTATGTGCGATAAGCAACTAATACGAATTGATCCAACAGGCTTCCTATAGGGACGCCGAAATTTCTAGAAGGGGCGTTTTACGAGATCCATGTATGGTGCTCATCATTGCAGACCGGTGGGGCGGGTGAGCCGCGCCGCGTGTGACTCGGCTGTGACGCGACTGTCATCGCTGCCGCGTCACAGCCGAGTCACACGCAGCGCGGCTCACCCGCCCCACCGGTCTGCAATG